AAAAGAAACTAGTCTTATCGCCTTTGTTGGTGAACTTCATCCGGAGTCCTTCACTCAAACGGCCGTACCTACCTGCAAGAACTCAACGCCGTGAGGGGTCCCGGCGTTGAGCCTCTGATGCCTAAGTCAGCACTCGCCAGAGATAAAGTGCAATATGAGAGTATAGTAATGAATGTAGTAGAGAGAGTGTGTTTTTGGAATACCGTAGGCCCTTTTTATAAAAAAGGGGTGTACCTTTGCCCAAGTTTGGCTTGAGCAATACTATTATGACATTTGTCCTAGCCCGTGTAGGTTTATTCCCAGTATAGTCCTTATTATCCATTAAAAAGTCTAGTATGATATTCCATAGTAACTTCTGAAATTTGCTTAGTTCTACACACCAACCAAAATCTAGAACACCACATTTGAACCACATATCTGAATGTCTAGAACCGCCATGAGGCTAAGAGCAAAACACACCCACAAAGAAATAAGATCACATCAAAAGTAGTCTTAGCAAATTGTAGGTAATACCAATTCCATGCCCACCGGCCAAGGACCCTTGACCTCCATATCGGTCCTGTGCTAACTAACTCCACACACCATCATACCTCACAGTGAAGTGAAGAATGAAAGAATGCAATCGATAATAAGTAGACCCCTCGTAAGCAACTTTGTACGGAGTTGGTTCACGTGTGTGTCGTGCATTGTTGGGGTATACACCCCCACCTGAAGACCGAGATCTGCAAATTTGGAACAGGTCTCAAACAAATCTAAAGCTATTTAGAAGTAATCGTTTATGTTTAATCTTGTGAGACGTCGGTGCTTTTTCGCTGCATAGCACCAAAAGTGGTAGTTCTCCCGTTCTTTTGTAAACCAAGACGCTTGACTAAATCGGTGCTTCAAGTTTGGCATATGCCTCTCATGTAAGGTTTGGTCCAAAAACGTGGGAAATTCTTCCACCTCAAACTCAGAAGGCCTGGGCCCTTCTCGTTCTTGGGATCCCATATAGCATGAACACAAAAACTAATCAATGTTGGGTGGTCCTCAGGTGTTGGGATCCTCACCTCACATGAGAAATTCTTGTGTAAAGTGAGGACCACCCGTTCATGCTATTTGGGATCCAATGAACGAGAAGGGCATTGCCCCAGGCCTTCTGCCTTCTGAGTTTGAGGTGGTTTTTAGATGAGAGGCTACACAGGCATATGCTGAACTTGAAGCACCGATTTAGTTAAGCGGTTTACAAAAGAACGGAAGAACAACCACTTTTGGTGCTATGCAGCGAAAAAACTTATTAAACATAAACGATACGATTACTTATCAATAGCTTTAGATTTGTTTTAGACCATTGTTCCAAATTTGCATCAACTAGCTGAGCTTGGTCTTCAGGTGGGGTGACATATACTCCAAACACGCTTAGGATAACCAGCTCCGAACAAAGTTGCTGCTTATGAGGGATCTACTTATTATGGATTGCATTCTTTCATTCTTCACTGACGGTGTGGGGTTACTTATCACGTCTCCTCAGACCTATATGGAGGTCAGAGGTCCTTGGCCGGTTGGCAGAATTGGTATAACTTAATCTGAAGTTGATGTNTATTTCCAATTTGCTAAGACTTCTTTTGATGTGATCTTATCTTATATAAAAAAATGTGACTGCTTTATTTCCAATTTGCTAAGACTTCTTTTGATGTGATCTTATCTTATATAAAAAAATGTGACTGCTTTATTTCCAATTTGCTAAGACTTATTTTGTCGGTGTGTTATGCTCTTGTGTCTGACAACTTTGGCATGGTTCAAATGTGGTGTTCTAGATTTTGGATTGTGTGTGTAACTAAGCAAATTTCAGAAATTACTATGTGATATGGAATATCATACTAGACCTGTTTTAATAGATAAGAAGAAATATACTGGGCAATAAACCTACACATGGGCTAGGACATGGTATTGCTCAAGCCAAATTTGGGCGCCCTAAGGCATCCCAAAACACACACTCTCTCCATTCACTACTATACTCTCATATTGCACTTTTATCTGTGGCGAGTGCTGACTTAGGCATCGGATGCTCGACGCCGGACCCTTTTTCTTGCAGGTACAGAGGTCGTCAGAGTTCAAAGAGCCCAGGTGAAGTCCATTTCACCACCACCCCCCACAAAGAAAATAATAGTCAATAATAAATCATGAAATTATTAAACTAATAAACTCACTTTTTGTTTCTTCCAAATCCCACAATTTTATAGCCCCTGAAGAAGATCCAGCTACCACTAAAACCTCGGCTGAATCAAAAGCTGCAGACTCAACTGGACTTGTATGACCACACAGGCTCTGCAAGTACGAGAAAGCCATTAGTTCTTAGAGTTGTATAACACAATAATAATGAAAGAAAGCCTTGCATTTTAAATTTATTCATTAGCTATAGTGAGGAAATTCTATTTCATACATTAATAGGTACTCAGTAGCACCTTATGAATTCAAATGTACAACAACTGCAATTAACAATTAAACTTAGATACAAAGAACAACATTTATCTCCATTAATCATCGTGAGAGTGGCTGTGGACGTCAATTCGAATATCTCCCTATCGCTCGTATAGCAGACAACACTAATTATACTGAAAGAAGAGCACAAAACAAAACAAAGCAAGTGTTTTTCTTACAACATTCTTAACTAACCATTAGAGATGCCGGCTTGCCAACTGACCAGAGGTTCACTTTCTGATCATCTCCGCCTGTAACAAACACTCGGCAATTCTTTTTGCCGAAGGTCAGGCAATTCACATTCCCCGCATGTGCCACAAATTCCTCTGTGTCAAACTCAGTCAAGAATGGACAATTCAAAGTGGAAAAGTATTATTTCGGCCGATTAAATGAGCATCTCAAAAGCAAGTTTAGGGAGTAATCATCAGTTTGGGAACCACGTATACATATAAGAAACAAATAAACAAAATTTCCAAGAGAACATAACACAATCTAATCAAGTAGCATACTTGCTTCCAGCTGCACAATATCAATATTAACTGAAAAATCAATAAAGCCGCAAGGAATCAAGATTCAAGAGCCCGTTACAGAATTTTCAAAAAAATGAATATAAAAAAAATAAAGGGCTACTCTGTTAATTCAGAATCTTTCTTATCTCAATCAAATGTAGGCTGAAATGAAGTGAAAAATGCAATCTTTCTTGGTCACTTTTCTCNAAATCAACTCATAACATAAATCAGTGCCGAATCAACTCAGGTCACTCGAATTCAAATTAAACTTCAAAATTCAATCCACCGTAGATCATTCAAACTCACCGCCATTCACAGTCGCATTTCTCACACGCCCAAACAAAAAAGAAAAAGAAAACAGAAACGCAAAAACACAAACACATTCAAAAAAATAAAATGCAAAGCAGACACAGACAACCCGAGAGGATACGCAGCTTATATCCACGTTTCGCCATTTTCTCGCCGGAAATCCGAGGACCACAAATCCCGCCGCCGCCGGTGGCCGCCAAGAACCTAATCCCACCGGACAGACAGGAAATTTTCTATCTTTTTTGTTTGTTTGTTTGAAAAAGGAAAAAGATTCAAAGGTAGCGGCAAGAAAATCTGGCAATAATTCCCTGAGCAGAGAAGATTCACTTCAGTAGCGGATTTCAAGAAAAATAAAGTAGGGCGAGAGCACAATTAATGGTAAAACAACCATTAATGAATATTAAATCCTCCTCGGGCGCGTATGAGATTTAGCAATTTATTCTCCATATACTGCGCCCTTGTCACTGCGCCAATTGACCGACATCATTGGTGAAAAAGTAAATACAGTATAAATTTCGAAAGAACAAGATCAAGACCACCTCACAGACGTCTACAACAGCCTATAAACTGTAGTTAAAGACTACACGAATGGATTATTTAGGGGGACAATAATATGATTAGGAAAATGAATCCATGTAATGAGTGACGAGCGAGAATATTTGGTTTTGTTTTGAAGGACCATTTGTTTATGGTTAGGGCTGTTATCGAACCGAACCGAACCGAGCTTAAGGTGTTCGAGCTCGAGTTCGATTAATTTTCGAACATGTTCGTGTTCGTTCGATTAGTAAACGAACAAAAAATTTTGTTCGTGTTTGTTCGTTTATTGGTTCGACACGTTCGTGTTCGTTCGTTTATCTAGTCGAACATGTTCATGAACTGTTCGAATTGTTCGACAAGTTCGTGTTCGAGTTGTTCGACATGTTCGTGTTCATGTTTTTTAACTTTTTTTATTTTATTTTAATGTCATACAAGTTATTTTGTTTATTATTTAATATCTATTCATATTTATATGTTCTATTATATATGTATATACTATATATAATATATAAAATTATAAAATATTTGTGTTTTATTTAATATTTAATATATATTCATATTTATATATTATATTATACATTTATATACTATATATAATATATAAAATTATAAAATATTTTTTTGTTCGCGAACGCTCGATTAGTTCGCGAACATGTTCGTGTTCGTTCGATAACTAAACGAGCATAATTTTATGTTCGTGTTCGGTTCGATTGCTAAACAAACGAGCTGTTATCGAACACGAACGAACTCGAACGAGCTTTGTTCGCGAATGTTCGGTTCGAAAAACAGCCCTATTTATGGTTTTAAATATTTGTGAGCTTTGTGTGGACTAGCGGAGACATTTGAACCACTCACTAGCTTAAAATAAATGTTAGGCTACTAGCTGTAGCGGTCTAGATTGATTTGTTTCTCTTATGTTAATTTTCTATATTTTTTTGGTGGAGAATAATTGGGGGCAAATTTCTAATGTTTGTAATTTAAATTTGAGATTCTCATTTCACTAGTCCTTGTGTTACGTAAATAATTGAGAAAAAAATATTGTGAAAAGGCAATTTTCAAAATTATATGAGAATTTTTAATAGCCAACTTTTGAAAACAACTAATAATTAATATATAATTTTTGAAAAGTAACTGCTTTTTTTTTCTTTAATTAATAAGAATCAAACAACTAACAAAATTAAATGTTAGAGGTTCAGTTGTTCAAAATTTCGTTTGACTAATTTTTAAATGATTTTTTTTTTGAGTAAATATTTAATTTGAGTTGAATTGAATTGTATAGAAAAAAGTACATGTTCTGAATAGATACTCGTGATATATTTAATTTCTCAAAACTGCTTTTCAGTGAGTGAGAAATAAATGATTAATTTATTTTTTTCGAAATTGATTTTTATTGAATGAGAAATAAATTACTAAAGGTAGTCATTAACGTGATTCGAATCGTCAAAAAGTCATATCCCACATCGGACTCTTAAATGAGAATAATTCTCTTTATTAAAAAGAATTGTAGAGGTCACAACAATAACAAAGTTATGCATCAAGTGTTGGAGATGGCTTCGATCACACGCGAGCACGCGCGCCCGTTGACCTGCTCGGCTCAGGCTCAGGCTTGGGCCTTGGGCCCAGCGATTGTATCCTTTTGTTGCAAAATTATTTGCAGAGTTCTGGTCCAAACTGTTAGTGTTATATACTGAAAGCTTGGCTTTGCATGTTATTACACATTTACCCTTTATGAATGAGAATCATATTAGATTAAACAAGTTCTACGTTCTGTTGTTCTGCACTTAGATGGAGTGGGTCGTCATCGGGCGAACCGAAGATCACTCTATCAGTTACTTGCGAATAAGAATAGTTGTTCACAACCTAGATGGACATGAACACTCCATCCGAACGGTTGTAGTGTCAACTGTACAGTTTGTCTTGACTGATTAGTTGCACTAGTACATTTATGTATTGAACAGGATCCCAGAGAGGAGAAGTTCATTTTATACTGATCGTCGTAAATGAACTAGGCCTCGGTTAATTACTGCGTTCTCTTAACCCGTAAGATATTAAACAGGCAGATATATATAATATATATTACTTTGATTCACATGGGTGAGGTTCAGTTCGCTGGATTAATATTCCTACTGTTTTGGGTAATATTATTATATATAGGATGTGCTGTTAGGATATTTACGGTCACCATGTGCGTTAGTTTGATGATGTCCCCGGAGTGAGTTCATGAAGGATTGTTATGCTAAACCCTGCAGGTGGATTAAATTCCGGCATAATAAGAATGTGATGAACGAGCGCTAGCTTCGGTGAAATAATAATAAATTAATTAATTCTTGATTGTCAGTAATCGAATTAATTAATGGACATTATATCTTAAACGTGGGGAGGTAAATCGAGTAATTATTATTGGAGTCTCAAATGTAATTTGGGCTAGGGAAAAGGAGTGCAATAATATAATATTGGTGGCCCATTAATATTATTTAATTAATTAGAGGAGTGGGTTTGGCCCACAGTTAGTCTAATTAATTAACGAGCCCTTTTCCTAATCTCCTTAGGGTCCCTACTGTAGCTCTATATATACATCATTAAGCTCATGAGAAAGAAAGAGAATTCACATCTCACGTGAAACACGCCTCACACGCCTCTCTCTCTCTAGATCTCATTGGAGCTTTATCTTCTTCTTGTTGCTCCACTGGTACAAGTTGAAGAAGACTGTATTGAGTAATACAGTAGAAGATCTGTAGGTAAACCGAGACGAAATAAATTTTGACCTACAGAACTAACCGGAAGTCTGATTGAGACGTACAGTATACCCAGACGACCTTCTCGACGAGAGCTTTCCATCGCCGCCGACGTCTCCGGATTCCAACGCTGCACGCGCCCTCACGCGCCGCCGGAAGGAGCCTGACTGCAAAAACTCGTTTTGATCTGTTTGCATCCGTTTGATCCGATTTTGATCTGATCTTGTTCATGCAACCAAAGACGTGATTTGCGGTCAATCAATTGCGGTCAACCGTTCGTGGTCAGCCAGATCTACATAAATTTTAAGCCGTAAGTTCTCTACGTCAAACCTTTAGATCCGCTGTGCATAGGTTTACGTTTGCTATTGAATTCGTGATTTGTACATAACGAGATCCTCACAGATCCCAACACAAACTAAGTTGAATTTTGGAATCGGGTTTTGACCTACCCCATGTGGACCTCTTCAGGTACAATGTAATTTGTTTTTCATTTCTAGTTCATATTGTAAGTATTGAACACTTCAATTCGTAGGATTCTCTTGTACAATCACTCGATTATCATGAGACATTTGTTCATGTCGCCAAAATGGTTACAGTCCGGTTATTCTTTGTTGTGGTTGCTGCCAGGCATTAGGAAGTTCTCCAGATGGATGTTCACAATGTCTTTCTTCATGGTGATTTGTCTAAGAAGGTTTACATGAAGTTTCCTCCTGGTTTTCGATCTGGCATTGATGGCCAAGTTTGTTGCCATCGTCGCTCCCTCTATGGCTTGAAACAAGCTCCACGCTGCTGGTTTGCCAAGTTGGCTATGGTTTTAAAGCAGTATGGCTTTTGTCAGTCCAATCATGATTACTCTCTTTCTACATCGTGGTTCTGTTCATCTGCAGGTTCTGGTCTATGTTGATCATCTGATTACGGCCTTCAAGAGTTACTTGAGTCGTTGTTTTCACATGCAGGATCTTGGGTTGCTTAAATATTTTCTAGGTATCGAGGTTACCCTGAATTGCTGAGTTCGGACTTTTAGGGAGCAAGCTAGCTGATTTTTTGTTAGAGCATAATCATCAGCTTCCTCTTCTGAGGGTGATCTATTGTCTGATCTCGAGTGATATCGTCGTTTAGTCGGTCGTCTTATCTTTCTGGCGGTGACTCGTCCTGAGCTATCTTATTCGATGCATATGCTCTCTCAACTTATGCATCAACCGCGTCTAGCTCACTGGGACTCTACATTGTGTGTGGTTCGATATTTGAAAGGCTCTCCTAGTCAGGGAATCCATCTTCGTACTAGTTGTGATCTTAAACTCTATGCATGGTGTGATTCGGATTGAGCGTCTTTCCTCTCACTCGGTAATCTTCTTCTAGTTGGTTTATCCAGCTGAGTCAGTCTCATGTTTATTGGCGAGCCATGAAACAACATACCGTCGCTTGCTCTTCTGCTGAGGCTGAATATCGGGCGATGGCTACTACATTGTGAGAGTTAAAGTGGTTACGGGAATTGTTATCTACTATTGGAGTCGCTCACTCTCAGCTTATGCGGTTAGACTCTGACAGTCAGTTTGTGTTGCATATTGCGGCGAATCCATTTTTTCACGAAAGCACTAAGCATATTGAGGTGGATTGTCACTTTGTTCGTGATGTTGTTCTTCACGGTCTCATTTCTATTACTCATGTCCATGGGGGACATGACGTAGGGAAGCGTACGAGTGGGAAGGATAAGACGAGATCTCATTCTCAAAACACGATAAACTCACTCAAATTCTTATTTCATATTCAACTGAAGAACACAAAAGAGGATGAGTCCTTTGAATAAGAAACCTAAATCTTACTCTTAATTTGTCCAACAAGACAATATCTCTTACTAAATATTCTAATACAAATAATAAGACTAATAATTATTCTCTTACCAATTAAATACTAAACATAAAGTTAATAATAATAAAAGGACCAATAATAAAAGAGAATAAATATATATCATAAATTAATGATATTAGACGATATCTCGTCTACATTTGGGAAGTGTGAATTCGATTTCATCTTGGCAAGTTGGGCATTCGAAATCCACATGCTCCAACTTGAGAGGGTGTTATTGTTTATATTTGTGTATTTACTTTATTAGTTTTAGGTTATCTTTAATAATTGTAGCCTAATTATGTGTATATATCCCCTTATATATTAATTCAGAACGTGTTGAGCCTATGTGGCAGGCCCGCGTGCTTCGGGATCCTATGTGGCAAAATTACATGCTTCGTTATTAGGATTGGGTAGATTTAATTTACTTATAATCCAAAAATATTTAGGTTCAAATTATCTATAAATATGTTGATTATTTATGATAGGGGTGGACGCGGTCCGAACGGTCCTGGATTTGACTTGTCTCGATACCGATCCCATTTTTATAAATAGGTCCATGAACGGTCCGGGATGAGGCATCGTCCCTACCCATATAATACATGAGTGTTGTATTAGTCCTTAGTTAATAGAGAAAGCTGAACCATCCGATTGAAATGATTTTTCCTACAAACTTCGTATCGTCTCTCTCGTATCATAAAGTTTCAGTTCAATCGAACCACTTGTCAAATGAAATGAATAATTTGAACTTAAGTTTATCTTAGGGCAAAATTAATTTAAATCATGCTTATTGGGTTTTCCAGAATTTGTGTACAAGCCAAAAGTGTCGTAATGAGACGAAATTAGAAGATGATTTGATCTGTTAACCAGATCTGTCAATTTGATTGTAGTAACGATTTTTCAAGAAGTATTTCAATTCACACAAATTCAATTTTGACGCTTTACCTGATCAATGAAAACCAAACAATTATGAAACTCTGTACTCAATACTAAAATCAACGTTTATCTTGCTTCAATATTGGCGGAAACGTAAGTAAAATATTAAGACATTTTCGGTATCATTAGATAGTGTATGGACGTTTTTCTACCCTGGTTTACAAAGCACTCTACAATCTCTTCGGTCTTTTCATATTTACTTGTCTGCAAAGTTTTTTTAATAATCAAAGTTGACATTGTGTTTGATCAGTTTTCCGTAGACAGGTAGTGGTTAAAATGATAAACAATTAGAGCATCTCCAATGGCACAATTTCTATTTTGATATGTATGTTGTGGAGAAAAGAAATAAAAATAGTTTGTCTCTAATGGTGAATGTCAATTGTAGAATAAATTGACATGTATAAGATAATAATTAGTTGATGGAGAAAGATATATAAAATAAATAATCTATATCTATATCTATATATATATATAAAAAGAATTAACATTTATCAAAAATAGCAGCAAAAAAGTCAATGAGCATTTAATGCATACTTTATTTAGAAATTTTTTAAATATATGCATTAATTGCTTTAATATACACATTTCCAAATTAAATATGACCAAAAAGATTCTTTCCTTGAATAATTTTATTAACATATGCAATAATTTTATTGATATTCATTATAATAAACTATAATTTGATTTTTCGTGATTGATGTTGATAATATTTTGGTCAACATAAATATGAAAATAACTTTTAAGTCTTAACCATATTATTATTTTTTTTTTCACAAATGTTGACTTTCATCCTAAAATATTTATAAACAATGGTAACATTTTAAACAATTCTCCCTCTAACTAATTAGCCGAAATCAAGTTTATGAATTAATATTTTTTGATAATATTTTTTAACCTTTATTTAATTATATAAACAAATAATTTTTAAATTAATATAATTTACCATTTAAGAGATAATGATCACATCATTAAATAATTTATTAATGGCTAAATAATAAAATTAAAATATATTAACTATTCTTTACATTTTCAAAATTTGATTTATTTGTATATTATTGCCAACCATGATAATTTTATCATTTTTTTATTTTTATTTGTTTCCATAATGAATTTATTGTAAAATATATATTTATATTGCATAGTATGTTAAATAAACTAATAAAGCCTTAGGATGCAAATTAGAAAAAATCTCTTGATTATGTAAGGTTTATTATTTGACAATTTGCTAAATCAATTTTTTTTAATTATTATGAGAAAATTAAATTCTAAAAAACATGTGTGTGTATTTTGTAAACATTTATAGAATTTTTTTATTTTAAACTCATTATATAAACTAAGAAGAAGAAGAAGACTACTTCTATAACCTTTATAAATAATAATAATGACATTATATGACAACAAATATTATAATAAAATAATAATTGACTATTAAATAAATGGTGAACAAGAATAAACATATTTTTTTTTCTTATATCGATGGATAAATATATGTTGCAGAATCAAATTTATATCAATATAACGTGTTAGCAGAATGATATATTAATAACATGTCAACGTTATGACTAAAATAAATATCACTGATTGAAAGAAATGGAAAATTAATGATCCAACCCTATTATTTTTTGCCAAAATCGTACAAGCCATATAGATGACTCAATTAATATATGTGCCTCGTGCATCGCACGGGCTATGCACTAGTATAATATAGATAAAAGATGTCTAGAAGTCTTTCTAGATCTAGAAAGGCTTCTAGAAATTTTACATGCCACATTGGATTTTTGGGGTCATGTGGCAATGAAATGGACCAATGCACAAACCATTGGAGATGCTCTTAGTACAATATTTGTGTACTGAGTATTTAAAAAATTAACACTTGTACAATAAAATGTTTTAATAAAATAATGTTATTATTAAAATTGTAAACAATAAATTAAAATGAATAAAGAACAATCTGAATGATAATTAGTTAAAATTATTTGTTCAGGTAGTTGAGAAGTTAGTCACGCCTACACTAATTAGGCGTTCTAGGTGGTCCAGGTACTGCTTAGGCTTTTTATATATATTTTTTATTATTTTAAATACAATAAACATAAATTTTGAATTTGAAACATAAAATGCACAATAATATAAAATAAAAACAATAATTATACAACTTTAAAATAATAAGTATAAGTATATAATATTTTCTAAAATCTTTGTATGTATATGTTATAAAAAATAACTTATAAATTGGGCATTATTTCAAATATAAATAAATTTATATTTATTAGTATTTTTACGACTTCGCCTATACCTAGACTAATCCCCGCCTAAACACTACGCCCTAGCCCGACACTTTTGCTATTTTTTCTTTCTGTCCGACGAGAAAAGTTTCTATTTATTATTAAATATTATTTTGGATTAAAGAAAGAAATTAATTATTCAAACATTGCCTAATATTAGGCCAATCGCGCTATTAAAGAAAATTGATAATTCAAACATTGCTAATATTAGGCCAATCTCCCTATTATATAGGGAGTAGTTTGGTTTATATACTACTTCATATATAATTGATTAATGTTAAAAAAATTCAGGCTACAACCGCACTTTGATAGTTGGATTGGATAGCTAACATTCAATAATTCTACCCAGGAAAAAAAACATAAAAAAATTACAGATCTTCGCATCAGAAAAAGAAAATCAGATTGCATAAGCATCTCAGGTAAGTAAGTGTACCAACTCTAGCTAACACCAATACATTACAATGTCTAATTTCACACATTAAACAAAAGTGAAAACAAAAAGAAGGAACAAAAAATTGTTAAACAGTAAGATTTAGCATATTCTACCCAACAAGCACCAAACTTTGTTACAGTTACAGGATTTAAAAGAACACTTGTAAAAAACAAACTACATGAGCCATAGACATTATTATAACAGAGCAGCAAGTTGCAGCCATGGAATCTGTAGAAAGTCCCATAACTAAGTTAGAGCCAAGATTAATAAGGAACACGAATTCCAAATCTCGGTTAAGCTCATCAGCAAACATACTCAGTTCTTTATAATGCGTTGAAGCTTCTGGACAATTTCGGACATTGGCGGCCTGAACTCCGGCTCAGGCTGTCACAGAAAAAATCTCATACATATTAAAAAATTGTTCTATACTTTCTAGTTTCATTTTGTTTTGCAAAAGTTACCCATCAGTTTAACCAAAAGTACCAAAAATAAAATCAAATAAATAAATCATTGTTTTAAATAAATTATGTATAACTAAGAAAAACTGAAAGTCATCATCACAAGAAGAATTGTTCAGGCAGACTCCCGCCATAATGGTTTTTCACGGGTTTGATGCCGAAGAATAACCCTAAAAAACTAAGGGCGTGCTTGGATACAAATATATCAACTCAAAACGAGTTTTTTTTTAGTTAAACATAGTTAATTTTGAAAAATGTGGTATGGTTTTGAGTTTATATTAAAATAAAATAATTAAAATTGATTTAATGTAAAAGTAGGAGAAAGATAATGTGAAGTGATGGTTAGTTAAAATTATGTGAGTGAATGAACAGTGAATTAAAGTTGATGTGATGTGTAAAACTGATTGATTGATATTATTTAATCATATTGATAATATTGAGGATAGTGGAGTTGAGTTAAATTTTGGGTATAATTGAATATGAATTGAGTAATTTTATATTCAAATACACCCTAAAAATATCTAAAAAACTCCCTAAAAATTTAAACAACTGCATAAACAAAGTTTTTTTTTGTCATGAGTAAAAAAGTCACCTGAATACACAACGATATTATGTCCGCCACGCGTGATAGTGACATGGACGGGTAAGCGCCATTCATGGTGGGGTCCACCATTCTCGACAAAGCGTCTATATCGTGAAGGCGCGAAAATGCCCATCTCGCGAGAGATTGCTCCCCCCGAGCACGCGACCTAGATTTTTTCGGCATATGTAATAATAGAGTTAGTTAGCCTTTCGAAATCACGAGTGAAAAAGGGTATTTATTTGATATATAGTTACTTGACTTGGAGGGCTCAATCATATTTTCCGAACCTGTCGTGAGATTTCCGACCAGTTAAAAGCCGTAACAAAACAACTCCAAAGCTGTAGACATCACTCTGTGAAGAATAGCTCCCGAATTCGAGCTCTGGGGCACCGTAACCTGAACCTTGCAGCTATCACAGTCAAACAAAAAAAAAACAAAAACAAAAAAAAAGGTAGTGATATTAGTAAAATTTCAAGTGAATAAGATTGAGTTTGTTAATACAAATGACTAATTACTATTTTACAAAATGCCTACATTATGGAGGTGATTTTTTAAAATAAATTTAAATCAATTGTTTAAGAGAATTGCAATTACCCTTAATAATGAGTGATTTACCTGAGCCATGGAATTTGTCGACATCAGAGGAGCCAAACCACAATCAGAAACACACACAGAAAGATCATCTTGCAAGAGCACATTACAGCACTTGAAGTTCTGGTGCACAATAGGTGGTTTGCACACTTCATGCAAATATCTTAACAAATTAAAAACATACAAACAATGTAAAAAGATTGGAATTAGCACAAGAAAAAAAGATGAAAGATAGCGAGCAAAGGTGAGAGCTTGACATAATATAATAACACTCTTCACGGATCTAGGAATTTCACTAAGGGGGGCCCGATTTTAAATGTTATAACGAGCTTGTAGTTTAAGTCCAAACACTCATTTCATGTAAAAATGCATTTACTATAAATATAAATATCGATATGTGTATCATCAAGTTTTTAAAAACTTAGAATCCGTATCACCCTCAAACTTTTAAAAAAAATATAAACAAAAAAAAATATATGAAATTTTATGTATTTATAATTTAAGTTCAACATCTATAGTTTATGGAAAAATAATTTTTTTCTTGAAAAATTGATCTAAATAGAATTTTTGCAGCACATTGCATAGCATTTTTTGTTGATAAAAATTTATTTCAACATTGTTTTAATTTAAAAATATGTGATGACACAAAAAAAAAAATGTATATATATATATATATATATATATATATATATATATGATTTTTAAAAAATGAGGGGGGCCCACGGACCCCCCCTGGGCACAATACACCTTCGTCATTGCTTATGACCACCAAATTCATCTAAGTCCAAAAGACATACTCGAGCGCTTTTGCAGCTTGAAGAGCCAAACGCATGCGAACATTCCACGAAAGCTTCTCATTGATTGCATCATCAAAGTTCAATGCTTCGTCAAGAGTCCCGTTTCGGCAATAATTGTAGACGAGCAAACGTTGCCCGTGCTCCAAGCAATAACCGATGAGTTCAATCACATTTGGATGATGAAGTTTAGAGATTCTCGCAACAAGATCAAGGAACTCCCGATCAGTTATATGTCCTGAGGCAGCCTTGTCCAGCTTCTTGACAGCCACAACCTGGAAATCCGGAAAAAAATAAAAAATAAAAAAAAAATAAAAAAAAAAATATCCAATTTTAAGACCACTCGCCATATCATGTCCTGTAAAGAAAAGAAAAAATCTACTGCAAAGACAACAAATCACTTCACAACCTCAACAATTAGAAAAACCAGAGTGAAATAATACTAAATGGGAAGCACATTTTGTTCTTTCATGACCAAAACAACAACTGAAAAAAGGCTGACAATACGGCCAAGACTGGAATTTTTGCAAACACGAGTGAAAAAAAGGTAGCAGTTTTTGCGAGTTTTCCATAACTAAATAGTAATCTCGCATGAAACAGGAAAACATTAAGTTGCATGCAATGCATATACCTTTCCATCAGGAAGCTGGGCTCGATAAACTGACCCGAGCATGCCTTTCCCGATAAGGTTTTCTTGAGAGAAACTATTTGTATACATTTGAAGAGAAGCAACTGTGAAGAATTGTGTAGATTCCAAAATTTTAGAAGTGCCATCTTTTTTCATGGCCATCGAGCTAAAGGTAGGATCCACAACAACCCTCTCTGCTGGAAGAAGGGGAAAAGGGAGGGGCCCACGTGATGCATTATCAGATCTCGTCATGTCTATACTACTATGATCTTTTCCCGGCTTTAAAAATCCAGTCTTTGTCTGACTACTGCTAGCTGGTGCCAACTCCATCGGCTTAGAAGCTAATTGCAATAAGAAAAAAAAAAGCCAAAAAGTTGCATTTTTTTGTATTTTAAAATGTAAGAAAATATCAAGTTTGGATTTTTCAGAATTTCAACCCAATTGTAAAAGAGTGAAGAACAAGTTAAACTACCTTTCTGTTCTTGGACAAAAGGGTTTTGCCAAGATGTATTACGCTTGTGGGTCCCACCAGGGAGGATCTTCTCTCCCCCTCGACTTTTTTTACAACATCTGAAAACTGAAACACATAGTACTAAAACGAGCAGTGCAACCACTAATAATCCTCCGATAGCAATCCATGTGGTTTTATTCCCCGATTTTCCAGTTTCGTGAGGTGTAGAAGGTACATTGTATACAGTTGGTACAGTTGGTACAAGTGGCCCATGCACGGGAATTTGACCAGTGTATTGACTTGCAGGAGCTTCGGAAGGGGCTAGTGAAGGAGGCGAAGATGGTGGGGAAGGTATTATGGTTGTGTTAAAAGGATTGCCACCTTGTCTGTAATTTAAAAAAAAAATAAAATAAAAGAAAAAAAAAAGGAAAAAAGAAAGAGAACACAGAAAGTGGATAAAAGGATGATACCGAAAAGAAATGTGTAAAGACTTTGTAATGAGAATTTGGCTTTTACCTGAAATCAGGAATATTAAGTAATTTTGGGGGTATTGGCCCAGAGAACAGGTTGTTCTCTATGTTCCTGAGGAAACAAGAAAACAATCAGCATATGTTTGAAAAACTCGAATTTGGAAGACGTGGAAAGTTTATAATTTTCATGTGTTGAAGTACAGTACAAATCTGTTAGAGGAAGGTCTTGGAGAACATCGAGCAATCCAGTAAGCTGATTGTTCTGCAAATGCCTGCAATCACCTTACAGGTGTGAAAAATAAATATATATGGGGAAAAGGGATGTTCTGTACCATGACAAAATCCACAAATCTTCCTCAAGTTCAGGGAAACTGAAGTGTTAATAAACAATGCTAGAAATATGTATGCCCCAACCTCAAAATTCACAAGTCTTCATCAAAATCATTTCAAATAAGAGTTCACTTGAAATAAGAAATAAAAAAGAAAACAAGGAAAGAAAGAAATACTTTCAAAAATAAAATCCTGAATTTCCTAATGTCCCCCCACTTACAAGCATTTTACCTTCATTCTCTATATGTCAAAATGACTAGCAAAACATATCTATTCGTAATAGCGTAAATTTTTTTTTTATCCAATGATCGACCACGGTGAAAATGAGGTGTGAAGAAAGAAGCATCATCAGAATCAAGTATCATTTTTTCATCAAAATTGAAATTCTGAATCAATCAATAAGAAGAAGAGAAATAAATTATTTTTCCCATTAGGAGATTACCCGAAGTCAACAAATCTTGAACTAAGACAAGAGCTAGGATATTTTTATCCAACAGGAGGGGAAATACTTACAATGTGGTCAGAGATGACAGACTACCCATTGAAGAAGGAAGCTCATTAGTCAAACTATTTCCAGATAAATCCCTGCATTGTCACAATGCTCATTGAATCAAAAACAAATATCCTCTGACTATTTTCATGAGAGCTAATATTACAAACAAGCCGATATGCCCACATGCTAGTCAAACTCGTGAACGACTGAAAAGCATCTGGAATTGGCCCAGCTAATTGATTGTTCTTCAAAGACCTGAGGATTATCATATGGTTAAAGGTATACAATTTATTCACTAACTTGAACAGTGGAACCCATACTTAAACTGAAGAACAAAATACTTACAACTTCTGTAATTGACCTAATAAAGATAGAGTGTCTGGAATATGTCCACCAAACTGATTATAAGAGAGATCACTGTATTTTGGTTTTGAAGAAAAACAAGAAAGAAAAATGGGTGTAAAAAAGACATCATCAGTTCATCACCACAATCATAGTAAACAAAGAAAAGCTATAAGTTGAGGTATGNCCAAAAAAAAAAAAAAAAAACCGTACAAAATCGTAAGAGTAATCGGCAAATCGGTCGGTATAGGGCCTCCAATGTGGTTGTTGCTCAAATTCCTGCATTTTTAGAACATTAAAGTTTTTCGTGAACAATCACCCCAAAATATAAAAGCAAAACCTACATTAACAAACAAATTCCAGGCAAATGAAATGATTCAGTAAATAAGAGTAGCAGATAAACACAGATATTCATTCGAATAGAACTCACAAGACCATAATTGAAGCAAACGATCCCAAGTCTTCACTCAATCGACCGCCCAAATTTGCCCCACTTAGATTTCTACAATCAGAGCACACAAATGGTTTGGTCAATACAATGGGAGAAAAAGATGCTCACTTATCATACACTACAAAGTATAATCTGAACCAAGAAAATGTAAATCATACATTTGTGTTATATTTGCATTCACACATTCAACTCCCGGCCAACTTGGGGGCCCACAGGGGTCTGCCTGAGGCCCAGGTATCCAATTAGGAAGCAATGGCGAGCCCAGACTAGCATGTAACTGGTATATTGCATAAACTGAGGAAACAAAATTAAACAAGATTTTTTTATTTTTTATTTTTTAAAAAAGGAAGTTTGCCATGACAATTCCAGGAAAACAAAAAGACTGAAAAATAAAAATAAAAACCCCAACTTTTCTTACCATCGCGAGGGTCGGTAAATCCACAGACAAACGGCACAGGAGAAAAAACGAGACAGAGTAAAAGAACTGATGTATGAATTCTCCAATTTAAACAAGCCATTATCAGTTATGGCCACTCCACAGATAAATATCTGTTTGCTATTATCTTTTTCGCTAAAAACCCTGCGGATAGAAAACCTGCCCAAGCAACAGAGAATTCCAAGAATGAGAACACGTTGAACTGAATTAACAAAAAAAACTTGAAATTTAAGGGCAAAGAAAAAACACAAAAATAATGGCTGCAAAGAAAAACACAACATTCCATTAAAGCGAGTTGGGTCGAGCACAAACCCCGAGTTTTCTAGTGGGGAAGCCTTCAAGATGACACCTTTAACCAGAAATAGCAAAAAAAATTCCCAAATTCCCTGTTTCTTGTCAAATTACCCAAAGAGTTTTCATTTCAAATTAGGCAAAGTAATTAGCAAGAAACAAAAAATACAGCTGCTGGCAAGCTGCGATGAGTGGGAAGTCCGACCAGATAGAGTAAAGAAAATAATATGTTTTCTTTTGCTTTCTTTGCTTTTTCTCCTTATAAAGCAGACTCAGAAAAACAAAAGAATTTCAAAGGTTTTTGAAATTTTTTTAATGGTATGTGCATATCCTTTGGGAATACGGATACACAACTTTATATAATATAGACATAACACACTCTTTAATAAAAGGAAAAAAGATTTCAAGTACTTACTACTGTAAGGTAACTTATATATATTATTATTTTTATTATTATTATTATTAAGTCATTTATCAGGGTGTACCACCGGGGTTAATTATGGGGGTTCTGGTAAGATTTAATATTTTTTAAAAATTTGAAATATGAGCGTTAAGTGTACCGTTGAGGCATGGTGGTTGAATGAACGAGTCCATTATGTTGGGCTATTTCAAGAAAGCCCGGTCCGATTACACTTTTCACATGAGAGCTATTAAAAGGATTGAAGAATTTGAATACACATTTTGATTAGGCATGTGAAAGTTGGAACTCAGAATCGTTTATTTACTTAAATGAGTCGAGCTCGAACAGTCAATAGCGCTCGTCCAGTAAACGAGTTGGTCTTGTTTGCGAATATCTCATGTATTAATTCTTTTTATTTTTTTTATGAATTTGAAATCAAATAGTTGAGTTGAAACTAGTTTGCGAACGTATATTTTGTGAAAGGACAATGATACATAGTCAACTAGTGTTGTCAACCTAGTTGTACACTAGGTTGACAATGTAGCATTTATAATTAGTGTACAACTAGGTTGACAATACAAATGAAAGTATCTTAAAAAAAATAAAAAAAAAATTACACAAGTGGATGTTTTCACTTGTGTTGCCAATCAAATTGTACACTAGGTTGGTAATGAAACATTTCTCATATATTATTCGAGTAAGCTTGTTTGAGGTTTTAAGTTTATTAAACGAGTCAAGTAAAACGAACTTGAGCTTTAATGAGTTTGAGCTCCAGTACTATTGTTGACTAGTTTATTAAATGAGTTGAGTTGGAGTCAAGCCTTAAATTAAACGAACTTGGCCCGACTCGACTCGTTAAGGCTCGAGTTCGGCTCGAATTCGAGTTCTGAACGAGCAAAGCTCGAGCTTACTTAAAGCTCGTTTGTTAACGAGCTGAGTTCGGCTTGACTCGATAAGGCTCGAAAAGAGAATTTTTATATAATTTTCTATAATTTGACTCGTTAAAGCTCGAAATCAACTCATTAAGACTCGATCTCAACTCGTTAATAGTGATAAATGAGTCGAGCTCGGCTCGTTAAGGGTTCAACTCAAACTCGAGCTGTCGAGCACCTTAAGCTCGAGCTTTCATTTACAAGCCTACAAGCCAACAAATGAGACAAGTCAGTCCTACCCATTTAATAAATGAGCACGACCTTGAACTGAAGCTACTCAAATAACACTTCTAAATGCAAGATCCAAGCATTGTAATTATCAATGCTTTCCACTGTTTTTTGAGTATATTTTTTTTGCTTTCTTTTGATAATTTAAGAATGTACATTCAATTGTGATTTTAATTGATATTTATTTTCTTAATCCAAGATTTTTAAGATTGGTTGATTTAAGTGAAATATATATTAGAAATCTTAAGTTTAGAACTGAGTTTTGATGGTGGGATTTCACACATGTAACTTATGTTTAATATCTCAACACAATTTTAAATATTCTTAAGAAAATTCATTGTTAAATAAATTAAATGTCTCATTACTTTTTAAAATTACAAATGAATATCTCAAAACTATTAAAAATCTTGAAAAATATATAAAGCGTCAACATGGGACCTCAAAGTTTCTTTACAAGTTACAAACATATCCAGAAAAAAAAATAATAATAAATAAATAAAAAATAAAAACCTCTCAAGTCTTAAGAAATTAATTATTACTTATTAGTAAGAAACTGAACTCAAATTCTAAAATCTCCTTTCCCAGATTTAAGAAATTTAAGTGGATTAAGAGTATGGTATATCTAACTAAAAAACTATCTCATAGTTGATAAGTTAATCGGTAGTTCATATATATACTAATTTTCACGTAATAACTTATAGTTTAAAGCGAATTGATGCCTAATATTATAAAAGTGTTTTATACTATTATTTGATAAGTTAATTGAAACAAAAATCTCTATTTTTTTTTTAAATGCCAAGTCGAGAAGCATCTGAGATCAGCTCAATTTTTTGCTAAGAGAAGTTCATAATACTGATTAAATTCATTTAAATATAAAAAAAATGCTTAACAAGCAAGTTATAAGTATAGTGTGTGTGCATTACCAAACACTACTTAATTAATTTAATTTCATCGGAGTTATATGTACTAGAGACTGCCAGTTTTTGTCGTCTAAGATAATACAAGGTAAAACAAAATATTTGGCTTGTACTCGTAGGAAAATTGATTGAGACAATGAAACCAAAGCATGATTAAACAGTAGTGAACTTGAAGTTTTGTCAAAATTTTTCACGAGAGAAGGAAATCTGCTCTTGATATGTTTTATTTATTTTTATGTTAACTGATAATAACTTTTGCTCAAATGTCAAAATCACTGTGCTGTGTGTGTGTTTTTATGTTATAATTTTGGTTACTATAAAGGGAAAACTACAATTAACTCATAAGATTTTTTGCATTTTATTCACTCAACTTTTTTTTTCGTGACACTTCGCCTATATAACTTTGCGAAAAATTGCAGTTAACCCATTTCCGGTCATCGTCGGAAATTTCTAAGGGCAAAGTTGACTTTTCAATCATCCATTCAATTAATTGTAATTGAAAATATTACATTTTACCCACCCTCCTATACGTTTTTGTGCACTTTACCCACGCAACTTTTTTTTTTTTATTTACACTTTGGCCTTAGAAATGACCGGCGATGACCGGAAATTGGTTGAGTGCAATTTTTTAGAATGTTATATGGACAAAGTGTCAAGAAAAATAGTTGAGTATACAATAATCTGCCAGCTCTCAACCACTGTGCTCTCCTGGTTCGACTCGCTCTAGAGGAACATTGGATGTATTTTATAAAATTATCATGCAGGTAAGTGAATTTGTAGAGAGGATCTAGAGCATGTTTGTTTATAAAAATTTTTAAAAAATTTCCAACACTTTAACTCAACCACTTTTTTTAACTCAACTTTAACTCAACCCCACTATCATCAATATTATCAATACAATTAAATAATATCAATCAATCATTCATACACACAACATCAACCTTAATTCACTATTCATCCACTCACATTATTTTAACTAACCATCACATCAAACCATCTCTCTCCTACTTTTATATCAAATCAATTTTAATTATTTTATTTTAAATATTATTTTAATATACCAACTAACAACTAACTATACCACCTTTTTCAAAATTAACCAAACCAAATCGAAAAATCCAAACAAAATAAAAAATTTTCTCTACATGAAAAAAGAATACTTCTTTAGCCTATGAATGCAAAAGGTACTCTGTATTCTAGCTTTATTACAAAAGAATTAAATGAAATTCTGATTATCTTTACGACTTGCACACTCATGAGAGTGCATATTTTATTAGAGTACCATACAAACTATCAACACCTTCGGTATCCCAAATCGACAACAGATGTTGTTGAACAAGAATTGTATCATCTTTTCCTCATTGATTCGTGTCAAGGGTTCCGTCTCGACCCATTTGCTGAAATAGTCGATCGTGACTGCTAGGAACTTTCTCTGCCCCGTGTCCATTGGTAAGGGGCCAACCAAGTCGATTCCCCCTTGAGCGAAAGGGATTGGAGAGTTGATTGTTGTCATGTTCTCGGCTGGGACATGAGTGATTTATCCATGTCGTTGGCATCTTTCGCGTTCTCGAACCAACTTCTCTACGGTAACTCACAACTTTGGCCAATAGTAACCTGCTCGCAAGGCTTTTCCTGCTAGAGCTCGAGTTTATGTATGTGCTCCACAACATCCTTCATGAATTTCTCTCAAGACGTAGTTCCCTTCTTCCTCCAACACACATCTTAGATGAGGCCCGACAAATGATTTCTTGTAGTGGACTCCTTCGATATCGAAGTACTTGCTCAGGTATCGAGCTGCCTATTCTACTTGTTGCTTATCCCCCACGGGAACTTGTCCCTGTATGATTTCTTTAATCATCGTCCTCCAATCCTCTCTTTTCCTCGACTTCCATAGCTTCTCCTAAAACACTTCCATCCAAGCGCAAAGTTGTGATCTTCTTTCCCGTTTTTTTGAGCTAGCGATTCTTGCTAGCCAATCTGCTCTCTTGTTCTCATCCCTTGGTATTTGTATTAACTCAAAATTCTCAGTCCTTGGACTAGACTTTGTATTTCTTCGACATATTTCATCATACGCTCTTCTTTGATCTCGCAGCTCCCCATGACTTGGCCCACCACGAGTTGTGAATTAGAATGTGCTATTATCTCAGTGGCTCCTCCTCCTATTGCGAGTTGAAATCCTTTGATGAGTGCCTCATACTCTGTTTCATTGTTTGAGGCCTTAAATCCCATTCTGATGAAAAAGTCGAGTTGCTCTCCTTCTGGAGTGACCAAGACTATGCCGAGTCTTGATCCTTTGGCAGTAGAAGACCCGTCTACATGCATCATCCACTTATTTTCCTCTTCTTTAGTACATTCTTAAATAAAGTCGGCCTTAAAATTGGCTAAATCAAATATATAATGATATATATTTAAATCATTCAAGATGCATATTTTGTTTATTTATGATGCATATTTAGTCAATACGAAATGCATATTTAGTTCATCCATAGTGCATATTTGTTATATTTAAATTAAATATATACATATGCATATTTAGTTCATTCATGATGCATATTTAGTTAATACGTAATGCATATTTT